TCTTTTATTTATCTCAAATTTGGCTTCCACTAATACTGTTTTATTTAATTCGATTTATATTTTATTTAAGTGATTACATTACTTAAGAAATCAAGACTATGTAATACATACTTTTATTGGTATAATATATATATTTATTTATTTATTTATCTAACTACAATATTATAATAACATACCCACTCAATATGTTGTACAATATAGGCATATTAGTTGTATATACTACACCATTAGACTATATAATATATACTTTGAAGCATATATGACATATATTCAAAATATATACTCCATATTAACTTCATACTTTTAACATTACCCTACACTATTCAACACTGCTAAACAAAGAAATTAAATACAAAAACTTTATTTAATTAAAAGAAACTTAAACCCAACACATACTACATGTGTACTTATATCTCTACAAATGTAGAAATCCAAAACAGAACATTAATTTTAACAAAAGTAAATCAAGTTTCGGTCAAAAAGAGAAAAAAAAAACAAACAAACAAAAAACAAGCAAATCATAAGCAAATCATGGTGATGGTATTAAAATATTATCAACTTTAGTTCTTTTTGCCTCTTAGGCCAATAGAGAGGCAAATTTCTATCCCTCCTCTTGAAAGTTTGGTTGATAACTCTTTCGTTTTTAATTATTTTTTAAAATTATAGTTAAGTTGTTAACAATTTCTCTCGTATGTTTTTGTTTTTATTATAAATTATCAGTTAAATTTCAAAAATAAAAATATGTTTATGAAAACTTACTTTTTTTTCCTTTCAAAATTTAGCTTAAATTTTAAAAATATTTTAAAAAATGTAGAACAAAACAAATAAATGCATGGATAAAAGTAGGGTTTACCAACTTAATTTAAAAAAAAAACATAAAACCAACCAAATAACTTCCAGATTATAGACTAAAAAAATTATATTTGGATTACAAAATAAATATATGGATAACGTTTCTATTTTTTTTTAACGAGAAACATAATTAGATTTGATAAGTAATTTTTAGAAGAAAAAGTATCCATTATTTTTTATAGAAAAAAGAAAGAAATTTAATTTTATGGAAAGTAAAAATAAGAAATAAGAAATTTGTTTCTTTTACTCAAATTTGTATATAATTTTAAAAACAATTTTAAATAAATAAGAAATAAGAAATATAAATAATTATCTAAATACTTCAATTTCTCAAAAGAACAAAACTATTTTTTATTTTCCATAAAATTTAAACTATGCTAGGGTGTTGTTTCCTAGGACATCTAGATTAAAAGATAAGGAAACAATTACTCTAGCAGAATATTAAAACTGTTATCATTTTGTACATGTCGTCTCTTGGTACAGCAAGACACCATGCAACTACTGAAGCGTAAGGTGGCATAGGTCGTCTCTCACCTACAATTTTCAAAGCGTTATTTTTGGAAATAGTTTGAGAGTTACATATATTTTGAATAAGTTTTAAAGAGAGCATTATTAAAAAAAAATCCAGGAATTATGTTTTACTATTTTTTTTTGGTATAATGTTTTACTAATTCCTATGCTCCAAAATTCCTTCCACATTAAAAAAAGTTTGGTTTTGTTTTTGTTTTTTTTTTATTATTTGCTCTCTTTCTCACATGACTCACATCTGCCAATAATTTCCCAACTTCCACAGTTTTCCATTTACATATCTATTTGTTTTCTTTCTCAATAAAATAAAAATAATGGTTATTTTAATTTTTATTTTTGGAGCCATCTGTTTTCCACTATTTAGGCCTGTCTTTTTGGGTCGTTCCTGTGAGCCCCAGTTCCCAACGCTTTGACTAAAACTGAAACCGCCCTTTCCTCACTATTACACATTCTGATTTTATCGTTTTAAAAAATAAATGCACTTTTGGCCTCACTCTTACCTAACAATAACATGTGCATCCGAATCAAATTCACAATCTTTTGATCTGATATTTATATTAGAACTATACTGCTTTGACTTACCCATACCAACTTTAACTTGCTCATATTTGATTTTACACTCTCGTATATTTCACATAAAATTTATGCCAACTCTAAATTATACTCTTGCTTCCTAAAATTAAATTTTAAGTGTGTACGTCGATAAAAATATCGATGTTGGTAGATATTTCTAAGAAAATTATAAAAATAAAACTTTCATAAAAAATATTTAAATTAATAAATAAGAATTTTACTTTTTAAATAAATTAAAAATAATTAATATTAATATTATGCCTATATTAGTAAAATTTGATGGATATGTCGACATGTTAACGGATATTTAATACCATGGTCACGATATACAATCCAACCTATCAACATACTTTTAACTTGATCATCTCCTAAATTCATATAATTGTTTTATATAACACCTAATTTCATTAGTGATAGATGGTAAATCACACAAACCATCTCTAAACGAATTATAAAAACATTACATTTAAGCTAATATTTTGAAAGTAAGTATTATAGTTTTCAAATTGTATAGAGTAAAAAATTTTGGGTTAAATTGTAATAATTATATAGCTCGACAATTTGGTTATATCAATTTTTAGGGGTAGTTTGAATAGTCCGTGGATCATGAACTTGAATACCTTTGCCATCTAAAAATGATTGATTGAATTGAAAATTCATAACTGTGATTGTAATAATTACGTTTGCAATCTCTCCAAAATAAAATGTCTGTTTTTTAAGTACAACGTTTATCCAAAATGTCTTATACATCCATAAATCAAATAATTCAACATCCATACCAAAATAAATTGATAACTTCCTTAATTTTTATCCTTTGCATTTTTTAATTTTATAAATTCCTTACTTTTTTCAAAAAGATGTCCATTTATCTATATTTTATCTTGATTTATCCATAAAATGTAAACTCGATATTTCTTTCTTCAAAGAAAAATCTCATACTTCTTTCTTTTTTCTTTTATATTAATAAAATAAATATAGGGTCTCCCCGACTATCATGTTAACTTGACCACGATAAAAGGATCATCCTAAGATCTCACATGACTATTGAGAATCAAGAGGAAAACAAGGTTACCCATGAACTTGTTGGTGGATCACTTGGTGGTTAATGGTTATGGCAGCAGCAAAACTATTTTCCAAATCCAAAATTTAGATATGGATGAAATTTTGAACAGTATCCCCTACACTATAGGAAACAAATTAAACCAATCAATATCGATATAAAATTAAAACAAAAGCGGATAGGAAATCAATCTAAATCAAGCAATTTACAGATTATAATTTGAATTAAAACTCCAACTATTTAATCTCCCATTACCTCCTTACTTTTTTCCACTCCACAATCATAATCATTGATCCGCACATCTTCCAAGGCAGAGCACTTAGCACCACTTTCTTCTTCTTCCTCCTCCGTTTGTCTCTGTTTTTGTTTCATGATCTGAAAATTTAATCTCAACTTTTTCACCCAAATTAAGAAAACAGAAGAAGAAATCCAAAATGGGTGCTGACACAGGGAGCACGCCCGGCGACGGCGGCGGAAGCGAGGTGGTCCGGTTCACGCTGCAGGTGCTTAAGGGGCGGTGGTTCACGGTGTTTGCGACGTTGCTGATCATGGCCGGC